CGTACTGTTATTATTATCACTTAACCATTCCCAGCAGCGGAGGGCTGCGATCTTGCAACACAATGCGAGACTTTGTTCGCGACCGATCCAGCAGCGCACGTCCACGATCCCCAGTCTCTGAAGGAGAAGCACTCGCGCTATCTCTTTGGTGGTCTCTCTCTCTCTCTCACGGGTCGAATCGATTTTACGAGAGTTTCTACTCTCCTTCTCTTTCTCCTGCTGCTGCTGCTGCTGCTAGTGCCGCTGCGCCTTTTGCTTCTTCTTTTTAATTTTCATCTCTTTTCTTCGCTTTTTCTGGCCGTCTCCTATAAACCCCATACCACGTCTCAACGGCTACCTACAGCCAGAGTGCTCTCTTTCCTTCGGTGTCTGTATTCTTTCATTTCGGGATCGAGGGTGAGAAAGGATGAATGATCGTTAGGGAGGATGGACTGTGCGGTTCCGAGGCTTAAAGCATCGTTCCGTCGAGATTGAAAGAAGCTGCGAGCTGCCCTCGAGCTTCGAGTTTTATTTCTGCGCGAGAAGGTTTTAGATTCTACTGTCGACAGATAAACGTCGTCCATCTTTGCGAGAATTAGACCCGGTATACATTTTTTCTACGTTTACGGTACGTTTACGGTACGCTTACGGTACGCTTACGGCACTCTTACGGTCTGTTTACGGTGCGTTTACGGTCCGTCTACGCTACGATCTCGGTTCGATCAATTATTATTCCCGTATTTAAATTGTAGACGTTGACATTACAGATAATCTCGAATATAACTAGTTGGACCGCTCACGGTACGCTTACGTTACGTTTACGGCTCGCATACGGTCCATTTACGGTCCGCTTACGCTCCATCTACGGACCGTTTACGCTCCGATCTCGGTATCATCAATTAATATCCTTATTTAGGTTGTAGGCGTTTAATCTTTGAATTTTATTCTAATCGACACTGTCTGTTCGTTTACGTTCCGTCTACGCTCCGTTTACGGTATGCTCCCGTCGATATTGTGAATAGTACCTTAGAAATGTTGATCACGACATCGCACCATCGACCTTGCGGATAGAAAATGGGCGAGAAAATTGAAAGGGGACCGGTTTCGTGCGGCGATCGGCAAGCGATCAATAATTCGACGATCGAACGGCGATGTTGTTTTAGGTATCGCTGATCGATTCGTGACGATGACCTGTTAACACTTTCGCGATCTTTTTGTACGGAACAGACGGAGAACCTCTCGATGTAACAGCGTTGTTCTTTTTGTAAGGTTCAGGGTTTTTTGATGTAACGATACCGAACCAGAATGGTCTTTTGATGGTTCATATAGTCGCCCCAGTGATAATTGCTTTCTTAGTTGTTTTATGAGGTGTTCTTTCGGTACTTCATTCTTAATTAAAGGTTTATTGCTATTATTATCATATTTGGTTGAAAGCTTCAATTTTCGTTAATTTTAACTACTGACCAGTTTCTTAATGGGCAAGAATTAGTATCAATGTAAAAAAATCGTGTGAAGCTCATTTTTCTTTTATACTACGATACTCATACACCTTATAGGATATCCGATAGGACGAAAATAGATGATAATGCAGCTATTTATAGTTTCCTAATTACACGTAACCTGTGATACTAGATGTAGCCTGATCAGGTCTCAACTAGGTCACATGCGGTCTTCCAACAAGAAAAGGTTGCTTACCCGTGACCTATGCGATAGGTGTGACGAATGAACTCGACGGCAAAGTTCAATAATTACGTTGCAGGTTTAGGCGATACAGCAGGTGTAGAAGTTTTTCTATACAGGGTGTTCTAAAATATGAAAATTCAAGATCAAGAGCACGTAGTATTCAAACAAATACTCAAAACAAATAAACTATAAAATAAAATATTCGTCGAAAATTCGTCGTTCTTTTAGTTAATTGCCTCGAGGATCGATGTAGGAGGAAGACGAAGAGGACGTAGCCAGGTTTGCGGGTGAATCGTCCGCATCACGATACAAGTCCACGGTGGATGTAAAATTAGAGGTGGCCGTACATCGGGCTTCAATAGCGTGGCTGTGAATGAACTATGACGTAGATTCGTAGAATGCAACGAACCGCCTACACGCGACCGATCGCAAAATTTATTTCGCCCTGGCGACATTGACGTCAGAGGCTTAAAAGGACGACTATTTATCTGAGACGTATTTTCAGATACAATTCAATCACGCCATACGTGACTGATTCGATCGTAGATTCTTCCATTGAAGTGATAATTTGACAATGCGATAAATTTGTACACAAGCTCCTTGAAAACCTGTTCGTTTTATTTCCGCTTGTAAGACGCCGTTCGAATCGATACGAACTCGATTATTCTAGATCTCACAGACCCCTCCCTGTCATATCGCAACGATTATTCCGTTTTTTTTCATTTCTTCTTTTTTTTTTTTACCTTCCGAACGAGTCGCGCGCGCAAGAATCTTTGCGAGTTTCTGCAATGCAAATGCAACGTGACCAATGTCAAGGCTCAGCCTGCAGCCGGTAGCTGCGACAAATCTCGCGTGTTAGCTAACATAATTCCATCAAGATGTCGAAAAAAGGTATCGTAATATTACGCGATTTTTCAATTTCATCTATTTTTAATTTATTACTGTTATTATTAACGGCAGAGGCTGGTCAAATATAACAGTAAACTTGACCGTCGAAAAAAATTGAAGGTTGCTTATCGAGTGTAATTTAGTCGCGCGTCCGCGAAACCAGAGTTTGTTACACATTGTTGACTCGAGATTACCGATATCAAAATCTCGTGATTAGCGATATCAAGTATTTGGTATATTGCGAGATACTCCTTTAGGATTGTTCTTTTTTATCAAATAAAAATTTTCAAGTGTTTCATCGAAAGATTCGAAATTGCAGGAAGTTATTCAAAGCAATTTATATAAATAACATGCCGATTTATGATTTTATACTGTGTACTCGTCATTTCGCGATAAAATCATAAATCTTGTTGAAAAGAAATCATTTTATCGTTGTATTAAATGGAAACTTTGAGATTGCATATTGCTCTCAGAAGATACAGTTTCCTGCGTCCATAACTACTCCCGTTTTGTTTGCAAAATACTTTATCGAAAAGAGTCGCAGGTTCTTTAGCATCGTCCTAAAAAAAATTATCTTCATTTAGACGTTCGAAAACGTGTTTTTCTGACTGTCGAGCAACCGCGTAAAAGAGGAAATGTGATGAATCATTCATGCTGATAAAAATTAAACAGCTATCTTTTTCTTCTCCTCGATTTCAATCTCGATACAGATCTGGAGATCGCCAAGTTAATCAGGTGTCAGTCGGTGGTAAATATTCATCGAATTTACCTATGTACGTTTATTGCGTGTTAACCACGGATCCACAACTCGTGTTGTATAACACTAATCGGAACATTGTTGCCCGTTCAGTATGTTAATATTCCATTTTTTTACTGAAATGTGATCACCTGATGATCCTAACGTCGCGCTGGCGATGATACCATTGAGTTCAAGTTGACGCTGTCAATTCGACGTTGACGACTCGACGCTATTGACTTGACGCTGACAATTCGACGATGATAATTCTATGCTTACAATTCGACGCTATTGACTTGACGCTGATAATTTGACGTTGACAATTGTACGCTTACAATTTGACGCTGAAAATTCTACACTGACAACTCGACGCTGACAGTTCTACGCTGACAATTCGACGCTAACAACTCGACACTGCCAATTCTACGGTTACGATTGGACTCTGGCTACTCGCCACTAAAAATTATACGCTTCCTATTAGACATTTACATCTCGACGCTATTGACTCCACGCTAAAGACTAATAAATCACCGACGACAATTCATAGTGTCCATCCTCTTTTTTTTCTCCGCCCAACACTACCTAGACAACACAGATGCCTAGATTAGAGTAAACACGAGAAAGACGTATATCAATAAAGGACATAAAGTGGCGACACTCGATGTCGTTTTACCATTGGTCGTCGAAAATCCGTGAAGATGCGTCTGTTCCAGGAAGTAGGAGCCACGGGGATCATCGACCCTTCACGGCTATTTCAGTTATTTTGCAGCATGCAGCTATTTTAAATACATATTGTGGAGTAGAGGCGTACGAGCATGAAGCATACGAAGCCGGTAAGGACAGCGGAAGAGAGACGTAGCCAGGGATTGAAGAAGGGAGGAACGAGAAAGAAAGGGTGAAGAAGGGGGAGGAAGATAGAGAGCGTGACGGAGGGAAAGAGGAAGATGGTACGAGGCGGAGAGGAGCAAACGTAGATCGAGAAAGAAGGAAACGAGGTGCTGGTGGAACGAGCAAAATGGCGAAACTGAGATAGATATACAGGGTGTTCCATGTAACTGGGTCAGGCTTCATCTTTAATCCTTTAACTTCCAAACAGTATACAAATTTTCATCGTTTCACTTACAAATGATGAATAACATAATGCAATACTTGTTGAATTAACAGTATTAAGATGTATAAGAGCCTCAGCAGAAAAATATGCAGTTGCACTTTTCTTATGCACCAATGCACAAAAGTGCATAAACTTAATATCACTCACCACCATTTATTTATTTCTCAAATTTCTTTTTACTTTGAAGGTGTAAAATATCCAAAGGTACTGTTTGCCCCAATTATATGAATCACCCTGTATATCCAGTAAACTTGGAAATGTCTGAATAAAAGTAGAATGTATTGTGCTTATTGAATCTAGCTCAATAGTCTGCAGGCTATGAAAATGAAAAGATTGTATTCTCCATCAAAACAACTAAGGATGGTAGGAAAATTTTTATATTGCCTTAAAATTATTTTTAATGTTATCACGAATACCCTGTATAAAGAAAGAAAGAGTGAGAGGGAGAGATAGGAGTAGCGGAAAAGATGGGGTGGGGATGAGGACATCTCTCTCGGGAGGGAAAAGCAGGGAGAGTAACAGTGAGAGAGGCCAGAGGGGTTGGTATTTATAGCCAGCCCCGTCGACGTCGACGTCGTCGTTGTCGTTGTCGTCGTCGTCGGCGGCGTCGTCGCCGTTGTCATCGTCGACAGTCTTGACTCCTTGGTGAAATTCAGAGAGGGGTGCATCCTCTCTCTCCCTATCCCTGCCCCTCCTACCAGTCGGTCTGTTAAAGGAATTTCCTATGATTAGAATGAGTATTTCTATACGACGCCCTGAACTCTCCTCCTATATGTGTCTTAGGACCAGAATAATCTATGCTCGAGACTCTGCTCGGACATGATAGGTTCCTCCTTGGATCGCACCGATTATGTGCTCGATCGAATTCAGTCATCCTGTCTGATGAAAACACCTTCATCGTCATGAGAATCACTGGTGTCTCAAATTTTCTAGATATAATTGAATAATTAATAGAAAAAGGAAGAATGGACGAAGTAGAAGGGTTAAATGGGAAAAGTTACAAATTTGGAAGTGTCATGAATTTTCGGTCTTAATCTTTATTGATCATCAATTGGCTACTCAACAGCCAGTGCAATGCACACGTGCTGAAACATCCAAGCCGTCGACGAACAATTGACAAACGGAAGCTGAAGAACAATCCCGAATACAACGGCGAAGAGACATGGATCAAAGGGATTCCCGTGAAAGGGTGAGAGAAGAGAGAGCCGAGAAGTTGAAGAAGCGACGTACAGACGTCTAACAATTTATAAAGCGGTAGAATGTTCTCTCTTTCTCGTCTGTTGTCGTGTTGTGCTCGCTGGTCCCTCTCTTCAGAACCTGACGAACGCATACCGTAGGAGTTAGCATAATTGACTGCGTACGTTAATCGAGCGGTCATGGAAGAATGCTCGCGAACGTTTCGAGCTGCTCTTGCTCCCCGGGACGGCATTATTTTCAAGCACTCCCGAGTGAAACGAGTTAAAGGAAAGAAAAGCAGAGCGAGGCGAGGCGAGGCGAGGCAGGCCGATGCAAGGCGAACGGCAGCCAAACTAACAAGCTGGAATGCAACGCAGCGAACGACGCGGGTCACCGTTTTCTTTGCGGTACCACGAGTAGAAAGGTGGATGCGCGTCCTTATTTTACAGTGTCGTGCCTCTTCACGGTCACTTGCGGCTCGTGTAAGTTGACCGAACCGCGAATCGTAAACGAACTGCGATTCGAGAACGAATCACTGCTCGATTTCAGGCACTGATTAACCCGTTACCTCTTCTTCGGTATCGTTTTTCTCTCTATATCGAAGTCCCTAGATTCTTGCAACCCTGATCGTTTTAGGTTAGGACGCCATTTTGAATACATCAGTTGTCCTAACCTAACTTTTTCCTCACTGGACGATTTCAGGCAGTGATTAACCCGTTATCCCTTCTTCCATATCGTTTTCCTCCCTATATCAATGGTTTTAGATTTTTTCAACCCCGATCGTTTTAAGGTAGGGCGCCATTTTAAATACAGCGGTAATTCTAGATAAATTAATCTCCTACTCAATCTTATTCATAAAAATCTATCAAGCAAATCTTATAATTAGACTAAATCACTATTATTCCCCTCGTTTCTTTTTTCCTTTTTCTTTCATCTAAGAGAAGATGATATAGTTTGAAATTTCCCGCGTGAATTCCATCAGATTGACTTCCTTTCCCCTCGATTTACCGTGCAACCATGTATCGATGAATATCCACCCACTTTAGCATGGAACGGAAGGAAGCCTTCCAAATGGAAAGTTGGCAGCGGGGACGCGCGAACGAGCACGCCTATCCCTCCAGAACATCGTGTTGGACGGAACATCGGCGTTAACGAGCGCAGCGAACGTCGTCGAGTGTGGAACAAATTAGTTGGTAACCCCCGGGGCGCGAGATCATCGTCGCGGTCATTAGTATGCCGCGACTGAGAAGATTCTCCGCGAATCAATTGGACGATGAGGTTCGCTGATGATAAAAACACTGCCTCCGAGCATCTTCAGAATGGCAACGTTGCGAACCTTCTGTGTATACGATAATATTTTCTGACCAGAGATCGTTCATCTCTCACCCCAGTGTCAGACGAGCTACAGAGTATCCGGGAAATACAGATCAGTGCTGCACAAGAGTTTGCCCTGATGGCAGTATCGTACACTGCCGGGCATGATAGCCATCTGTAGAAACCCCACCATTCGTTTTTGTATTTAAGATTAATTTAAGGATTACAATTATTTTCAGTAGACTCTCGATATATCGCCACCTAAGCTACTTCTCCTTCCAATATAAACAGGAACGAATGACGAATTCCGACAAAGACATTTTGTAATGGCCGTCGCAGTAACAAAGTGTTCATGACGAATTTTCTTCCTAGACTGACTCACTTCTGCCATTTTCTTGCCCTTGCGATCATAAAAGCAGGTAAGGCAATAAAGACATCTGCAAACGAAACGGTAAAGTGACCGTACCGGGAAAACCTAAGGAACTTTGTGCGGTATAGTCCGGTGTGGAGATACAGTGCGGTCGTAAAGTAAAGCGTGGAGCGGAGATATGTACTTATTGTTGTAGTCGTAGCCAGGGCCGTAGCGTCGTATACTGTTTTGTTATTGCTAATAGAATTACTTAAAAATAATTTACACTACAAATAGTAAATTAATTTCTAGTTTACATCGAATAGTCGTGAATTGGATTGAAATTTCTTATCTTACCAAAAGTTGTGTTTCGATCCTTGAATTTCATATTCTTTCATATGAATGATTTTTCTATAATAGGTACTATATCTTCGAGCCCAACTATACCTTATCGCGCGCAGACAAATATTCGTTCTATAGAGTTTGTGGCCGTGGCTATGATGTGGCATGTGTTGAAGACTATGGCGTGACAATTTGACGACAGGGTTCTCGTTTCTTCTATTTTGGGGTAAGTAATGGAACTACGTTAAGATTAATTTCAGTAGTGTCTTGCAATTACATATTTTGTCAAACGTTAATCAATGCAGTAAATTTTGAAATTTTATTACATGAAATATTTCTGTTTATTCATTTCTGGGAAATTTCTGCGAAAATTTATTCCATAATATTCACATAACAACGTTGTGAATTCCAAAATAATACAAATGATTTTTCTTTTTTATATTCTATATAATTCAGATTTAAAAATTACAAAACAATACCCGCAGTTTCAAATAATTTGAATGGCAAATTTACCGTATTATTTTATGATCAATTATTATTCTTCGAAATAAAATTGTAGAATTGTATGAAATATTTTGTGAAATATTTGTGAAAATAATTTTCATGAAAATTTACACCGAAAAATGAAATATTTATAAGGCTTATAAGACTCTTAACTCCTGCATTTGCCAATCAATATACCAATTGCATATCGATTCTTTCTACATCTGTCACTCGATAATATTCGAATCACATCTATCACATAATATTCACATCTGTACAACCGAATGCAGACTAAATACAATAGTTGAAATATTTAGTGGCACGTAAGAATCGTAATCGATTCGAGACACGACGAAACACACCGCTTTCTTCCAACAACTTGTATCCCTTTCACCGTGGTTTTGCTCCTCGTCGTCGTCGTACAGGCTACCCTCTTTTTATGGGCATACCCAGACCTTTCCGTTTTCTTCAACCGATAGAAATACATAGTTTACGTAACTGGCATAGTTTACATAATCGCGAACAATGAAACAATTGGTATTGCTAACGTGGTCATTGAAAAGCGATTTGTTCAGCATCGCCGAAACAATGTTACAGATTACTTGGACCAATCACCTGATACTCAATACACCTAGATTTTATTGATGATTCTGATTCATTCAGGTGTAAATCTGTTATGAAATCTTGATTTTGGTCAATGCAATTTGTCTTTAGTTTTTGAGAATTAACTTTAATTATCAAGCAGAGCGATGGATCAATTTTATTTAATATAAAATAGAAAATATTTTAAGATAGATTAAATATTAATTATTTTTATTAATTGAAAATTGATAAATAGAAATAACAAGAATAATAAATTAATATTAATTTACATTAATAGAAAATAACAGAAAATCGACAGTAACGAGAAAAGCACATTTCATTCCCTTCGTTCTCGAGGGTTACATCAAGGTAAAACCAGGAAGTTACTTTTCAAACACCCTGTGTACCTCTCCTTTTCCCTTTGTCTCACTTTCTCGGCCGATCTGCCAGTATAGAACCGTCGGTTTATCTCCTTCTAACCAACTGCTATTGTCGGTCGTTCGTCTCTTTCCCTACCACCGTAGGCCCTTCTCGCCCAACGATCCTAACCCCTAACCAAAACCTGCACCCCCGTTACACTCGACTCGTGAAAGGTTTCCCTCTTTCCCTTCGCCACACCACCTCCGCTTCATCTTCTTGTCCTCGTCGTCGTCGTCATCGTCGTCATCGTCGTCGTCGTCATCGTCGTCGTCGTCGTCGTCCTCAGTGTCATCGTTGGGGCTGTGAAAGTTGGGATAGTTGAACTATGAAAATTTCGAATTCCAATTCCATTATTCGAATATCTGAGTATTTGGGGATTTGAGTAATTTAGGACTTGAGTATTTGAGTAGGTATTTGGGTATTTTGATTACTTGAGAATTTGAGTATTTGACTACTTGGAGATTTGAGCATTTAAGTACTTGAAGATTTGAGTGATTTGGGATTCCATTATTTGAGTATTTTAGTGTACTTGGATATTTGAGTAATTTAGGGTTTGAGTATTTGAGTATATAACTACTTTCAGATTTGAGTAATTTAAGATCTGAGTATTTGAGTACTTGGAAATTTAAGTATTTTAGAATTTGAGTGCTTGAGTATTTGAATACTTGGATGCTTGTACATTTGAGTATTTGAATATTTGAGCAATTGGGTATTTGAGTATGGGATATTGGATATTCGAATATTTGAATATTTGAGCATTCGGATTTTCCTAACAACCCCAGTCGCGGTCGTCGTTCGCTCTTACTCCACCCTCTGAACGTGGCAGAACTCTATGCTCCTTTTCCAGGAGAAGAGGAGAGAAGTTCCTCTTTCCCTTCTGCTTCTCCCAAATCGCATTCCTCTCGTCTCTCTAAGCCATTTTCAACGCTCTCCTTTTCCATCGAGTATCGAGCTGCATAAGCTTGTCTCACCCTCGTCCCCTTTTCCTTCTCCATCTTAGTTCAATAACCAGAATTTTCCTTGTTCCTTCTCTTTCTATCTTCAAGGCACTTCGACTCGCCCTGCTCTCCCATTTCTTGGAAAAGTTCCGTGCTTTCTGCCCGGCCGTTCCTTCTTCGCCATACTTTTCCACGCTGCCACGGAATCCAACTCGCTTTCCCCCCCTTTTTTTTCTTCCTTTTATTCCTCCCTATATATATATGTAAGTGTGTGTTTGAAGGGAGTAAAAGAAAGACAAGGGCAATCTTGTCCTTTTAGTTAAAAGAAGACTTTTGAAAAATATCCATTTTCATGAAATTCCAGTTATTGATGGAACTCTAGCTTCGTGGAGACTACCAGATTCTTTAGCTTGTAAATCGTCCAGGTTATATCGAACAGATTAGTCAGAGACTAAAGACAGGAACATGGTTCTGAGAATATCGTGTACCTGCTTTAAACGCCACGTCACACATTTTTCGGTGGTGCATAAACTTCCACAGGAAGTCACCAATTTTGTGAAGAAAAATCTTGTTTTCATAAGTATGAGTAGATAATCTCCTTCAGGGTGGAGTCCAGATTTGATAATTTAATATATCATGCAAGAATTTTCGAATTTTTGATTTCTAAAAATTTTGAATTATAAATTGGACAGCTAATAAAGGTGTATTATTAAAATAAAATTTCAATAACATTAGACGCTTTTCATTCGACCATCCTCTGATGTTTTGAATCACCTGTTTAAAATTTTCTCTTTACTACGACGATCAGTTGGTCGTCCAATTTCACCTTTATCCATCACCTTGTCGATTTATTCGACGCGTTTCCATTTACAATTAAGAAATGATCTGATGTACATTGCTGAACGCCCGCATCGACATTCCCTCTCCATTCGTGCATGCTCATTTCATTTCCAGAAATTCAAATTTTCCCCCGGAGTTAACGCGCATCTTTTCGATGTTTCCTGTACGTTATCGATGAGATTCGTAGCCGAGTATCGGTTCTCCATAAACAAAGGATCCCCATGGAAAATTTGATTCAATCATTTCGCTTGCCGGACGGCAGTCCCTTCGATTTCGCTTCGAAACACAATTTCCGTCCGCGCACAATTGCTATTATTTTCCTGTTTCAGGGGCCGTTCAATATTTTTGGCTGTTCTAAAGCCTCTGCTGGCCCTCCATTCTGTTTTTTCTTAAATCTATGTATTCTCCTCGTGATGCTGTAAACATTTTACAGTAATTTTGAAAGCCGAGAACATCGTATGGCTCGGTTCAGAGACCCATCGCTTAATAATTATTAACTTAGTTCATATTAATCTAATAATATAGACAAAATGAGATTTTTTAAATATTGTTAATTCTCCATCATAATAAAATGAATATAATACGGTTGAGTTTACTGAAAATAAATTTTCAAAGTGTCGAAGGGTTAATACGACCATTTCTCCCGATACAAAAGGCTTGGAAAACATTTTCAAACCGATTAGAAACATTTCTCAAGAAAAATAAGCAAGCTTACTTCCGGTGGTTGCATCCTAATAATCGAACAAATACAGCATCATCTTCAAACGACGCACTTTCCCTTTGGACCCTTTCATCTTTTTTCCAAATCCGCCCTTTTTCCTCGTTCCCTTCTTTTCTTCGCTGGCTTCGCGCCTAATTTAGCTAGCACTATACTCGCGAGCAGGACAAATAATTACGTGGCCAAACCGTGGCTCATTGTCGTCGCTGAAGTCTGCTCTATGCCGAGTAATCGTTGGTATCATAATTGGATCGAGCATTGCGACCGGGAAATGCATGCATTTCACTGACTAATTGGGAGAGGGGGCCTATCAAGCTTTCTATTTTTCATCAATTAACGTATAGGGATTGATGACATTTGCCACTAAAAGGTATTAAAAGTTATTTGTCAGCTTATACAAATTAACAAAAATAAAGTTTCACAAATAATGTAGAAGTGTAATTAGCCTCATGTTCGGAAAATAAGATTTCATAGATTTTTTATTTGAAAATTAGAAATAAAATTTTATAGAAATGAAAAAATTGCCCCATGCAAATGGGGCCAAGCTGTTGAAAACGTTATTGAGTATCATGGATCAGAATGATTCTTCGTGGATCATTGTCCCAGAGGCTGCACTTTCTAGTTCAAAGGTTAAGATAAACTTGTGGATGACTAACGAGGAATTAGTCATTGCACGAAATAATGAATCTGAATAAATAGAAGAGACTTTGAAGCTTCTCGTTAAACTTAGGGTTTTGTGAAACGATTCGTGACGAAAAATGGGAAACACAATGATGTCGAGGGGAAAATTTTTTTTATCAGCATCGAATGGATCGGACAACTTTGACCATCGTGATTGGTTTCATCGCCTCTGGATCGATACGAAAGCCCTTTCGTCTCACTTTGATGCAGGGGTGGTTTCATGCAGACTAATGGATGATTCTTGTGAATCCTATGTTTTTAAAAATTTTTTTATTAATAAGCACTCTATTCCATAAATTGATAGTAGGTTAATATAATTTTCTAAATATTATTTAAAAAATAACATGAATATTGGTGCTATTAAAATATAGTGACAGAAAGGGGAGTAGAACATAATAATCTTAATCTAATAATCAGTTTCTACAGAATCAACAAAGGATTAATTAACAAGTGATCGATGATATAATAATTGGCGTTAAATTGTAGGCGTAACTGATTTATCATCTTCCCTGAAATGCATTTGAAAAACTGCTAAAGCTTCTTTTAATGATCCTCGTGATGATCCTAGTATCTCAATCTTTCTAAAATAGGGTAATTAAAAGAGTGTATCGGTGGATTTAGAATCATCACGAGTCATCCTGATGGCTCAGAAAAAAACACAGGGTACAATAAAAGAAGATTGAGATCTTTTACAAATTTATTTTTCTTTTTCATAATACATTTGTTAATATTTGATTTATATTTTACTTCTTCCAACACTTAATTCTAGCACGACTGTAAAACCTGATCCATTACTTATGGAATACTCTGTATTTCCTAGGCTTGCATTATTTACAGAAGCAGCAAAGGAATGGAAGTTTCTGCGAGCATCTCGTGTAATTAAACCATCTGGAAGGATAGGATGGAAGAAATGAAATTGGCGACTTGTAACGCGGAGCTTCCTGGTTGGGAACAGGGATGTTACGTACTAAGGACTCCTTTTATCCGTCGAAGATTCTGTAAAGACGAAACTCCACTCTTCTGGTCGGTTACTGCGTAGTATACATATACCAATAACTGGAACAAAGCCCACTTTGAAAGACGGCCCCAACAGCACCGGTTGAATGGACAGCTCACAGCTTTGGGGAGTGGGAGCCAGTCGGCGGCCGGGTGCTTGAATCATCCCTTGCTGCTAAACATCCCCCTATAGCTTCACGAGCGGGGGGGCTTTTACACGGGGTGAACTCGTGTTTATCTGCAGGGTGTACTTAGGTAGACCCGCGCAATATCCACAAAATCATTTGCTTGTATTATCTGGTTAACTGGCCACGAAACTTTTTCATTTACACCAACCACGACTGCGCTCTTTTTCGTCTGAAAAATTTAATTTTCTTCTATGCTCTTTCTTATCACTTTTATTTTCGTTTAGATAATTTTTCCAGAGGGTTGAATGTACGAATTAATAGAAAGAGGGTTGCGATTTGGAATCATTGAACTTTTAACCCTCGAATAAGGGATTAAAATTTCTCGTCTTTCTTTTATCCTCTGGATATTATTTATCACGAGACGGGTTTATTTGGGAAAAAAATGTCTAATCGTACATTTTTATCGAAGGAAGAATCAGTTGCCTCTGGACATAAACCTTCTAAAAACCGATTAACATTGCTTTTTGGTGAAAACTTAGCTGGTGATTTAAAATTGAAACCCATGTTAGTTTATGAAACAAAAAATCCCAGAGCATTGAAAGGGAAAGATAAAGAATTTCTTCCAGTCATTTGGAAATCAAATAAAAAAATCTGGATTACTGCGTTAGCCAGCAGTTAAGCAATATTGTAAAGATAAAAATTTACAATTTAAAGCATTATTAATCTTAGACAATGCGGGAATCAGAGTTATGTTTCTTCCTCCCAATACTACCTGCCTCACACAGCCCATGGACCAAACAGTGATAGCTACGTTTAAACGATATTATATGAGGATTATTAACCCTCGAACGATGCAGGGTGAATCGTGACCGAAATGTATAAAAATATCTGAAATTCAAACGGCGTTGGATGAATTGTGCAGAAAGGATAGAAAACGCTTTGTTGGCAAAGCTCGAGTTGCGCGTTATTAAAATTACAGGTCAAGAATAACTTGCTACCGTATAAGTCCGTCGCCCTCAACTGCTTCCCCAGGACAACCTTGCCGACGCCGAGCGGCGCATGCAACTGATGCAACTACCACGACGACAATTTGCAAATGACCGCTCATGCTTATTACCCGCGGCCGTAAAACAAATAATCTTTTCGCGTGCAGGCTTGATACGCGATCACTGTTCATCCGCCAGCCGCGGATACGATGATATAAAATCAAGTGCAACAACGCGCCGGTATCGTTTCGCGGAGGGAAGAACATTAAAAATACGTAAAATGCTGCACGGTATCTTGATAAAATCCAAAGCGAATATTTTCATTAATTTTTTTTCCCTCCGTAAACTTGTTAAACAATGGTTATTGAATTTCGAAGTTGACCTTCGATCAGGAGATCGTTTCATGATGATAGAGATTCGATGAAAATTGTAAATATCATTGCAACGTATTACAGAGAGTGTGATAAAATAAGTAAAATAATTAATTTATTAATTAATTGTAAAATTGTCGCACCTTAGTTTAAAATGAATAAACGACGAAGGATGTCGGTATAAATAGAACGATCCTTGATAAATTATTTTTTAAACATTCATGGAAGCATATGTAATTACGAGATCGATAATTTAAAATGTAAAATTGGATCTCTTTAAAATAGGCACTGTATCGAGGTACCTCGGTTGATCGACGAAGCGAGCAACGCGATAAGTATTCGAAAATCGTCGTTGAATGGGTGTCCGGTTTCGAACAAAAACGTTAAGCACAATTTTCAAAATGATTCAGAGCCCGATAAAATTTCGAACGATACCGTTTATCTGGTTGTTTCGAAACTCCGAATGATACGATCTGCTGTATGATCGAGAGCGACGATAGCCTAGGTGCAAAAAAAAAGTACCGGAAAGCAATGAGGCAAAAATTTCACGAAATTTCATAATTTTGAAAATATTCTCAGTTCTTTGTTGCCCGATATGTGTGCGCGTTCGCAATGAATTTATGCGGCGGGCAGAAACGCGCGCGCCCGCCAACACGAATATAGTTATCCGCGTACCAGCCGTTATTCACATGGTAATCAGAGTGTTAAGCAATAAATTACCTGCATTACTGGGGAATATCGATTCGGCTAGAGAAGAGGGCGTACTCAGTCGCTGCAGTCCAATGCAGCTTCGCTCGTGCCAAAGGTGAAGTGCTCTGCACCCTTAACTTCCTTCGGAATACAAGTTTTTCAACTTAACTTTATAACGAAGAAATGGCACATCGCAATAAACCACGTCGTTGTCCCCGTTTTGCAACTTAAAATTTAATATTTAAATTTTTTTATAAGTACCTGTAATTCTAAGAAAATTCTAAATGTCATAAACAAACATTTTTACTTATTAAAGAGAGAGCAATTACAGAAAAAAAAAATTCATGACGACAAACAATAATTAAAATTCTTAATTGACGAAATGTTTTCAATCGAATCAGCGATTTTGATGAAAAATTCATTAGAAATAGCCATCAATTAACACCGAGCGACACGTTTTTACGCGATCGATATTGACCTTTGACACGTGGTAATGTCGTCACACTGATTCCCACCGTTCTTTGAAAACGTATCGCATATTATAATTCGCGCGTAAGGTGGTCGCGGTGCATCGATGCGCGGTGCAGCTGCGCAGCGGTGTCCTTCGAAGGCTGCAAGCGTTCTAGTGCGCAGCCGCAGTAAATCATTATGTCGCATGGCGCGTTATCCGCACCACTGCGAGCGGCCTCCGCGCGTCAAAATATTGTTACTGGATTGATAATTAACTGAGATTCCAGGCCTCCGTGAGAGTTGACGAGAAATCGCGGAGAGATGGTCGGAGTCACGGACGAAAGAGGTTCGCGCGATGATACAGGTTAGGTGGAGATTAATGCATTATTGCATTTGATTTGAAAACAAGGATAAATAGGAAATTTTAAATAGAATTTTATCTAGAATGATACTTTTTAATCTTATACTTTACAGTCAATATTTTCAGGTTTGCTGAAAACTTAATGGCTAACGTGAAAATTATTTTTTTTTATATTATTAATGATTTTTAAACTTCTTTATTTCTATTTTAAAATTAATAGCTGGACACCAGTGGAAGATAGAAAATTTGTAATTGCTAGATTAAAATTTTGAATGTTACCGAATTTTATATTCAAACTATAGTAGTTTACTATCTTTTTGAAATTACCAGTCTTAATAGTCTTTGAAGTTTACGCTCGGATAGCCACTGATTTCGAGGAATAATAATATTACACGTCATATCCTCGTTACCTTGACCGATATTTCCAAGTCGTTGTAATCTTATTTAATGTTATCTTTACAAACGTTGTTCAGGTACACTCGGATTAGCAGCAGTATTACTGGAACTATCGGAAGCATTAATCCATTTGAATACAGTATTCCTAACATGAAACGAAATGCATTTTAATTATCCTTAGTTACATAAAATTGAATTTACGCTTTCAATATATGTATTTATTATCGTTGGCAGTTTGATACAATTATAAATTGACTTGATTCGAACAACAATCCTTATCCTTTTATCAAACATCGAATTTGGTCCCAAAACACAGATCATACTAGCGATTCGTCATTAATTCGTCGTCCAATCGAACTGCATCCAAACGCTGTTCAATACGACAGAAACACTAATCCTGACTGTATGTTCATTGATTTAAAGAGCTCAGGAGATTCGTCAGTCTCGTAATCCCAACATCAATATAAATCAAACCAAACCATCTGTATTACGTAAATTTTCCTATCCTCTATTTATAGATCTCTACTTTTCTTCATCAATTATTATTGTACTACATTGTAAACTGGCAATGATGTTTACTGCGAAATAATCCTTCTACCAACTGATTGTTAATTACAAAAGGATTAGTACGCGTCTATTCAGCGGAATTATAATTGAATCAAGATAGGATATAGATCATCCATTGAACGGTGGATCCTGGGTCAATCATGACCCAAACCTACCGAATGTAAATATACAAGGGTGCTTTAATTAAAATTAGACACTCAAATTTTTTAATGAAAAATTTTCTTACATTGAGAAAAAAATAATTTAACGTTTGGAAAATGAAAATGAAAAGGAATCCACCGATGGATCGTCGAGGTTGTTTGTCACAGTCGAAAATATAATATGTATGTGTGTGATCGGTTGACACAATCGATTGAACCGTGACGATAATTGAATATCTGTTTGAACTCGCACAGCAAGACGGACAAAGATCGTGTGCTATCGCAATTGTTGTTTAACTGACTGCTAGTTGACTGGGTGGCTTTGGCGAGGAAGATCGAGGGATTCTCGTCGAAACAGCTTACCTGAGATACGCAAACCGAAAAATGTTATTTATTTCACAAGTATTAATAATTATTATTCAAAAAGAATAATCTTCCTCGCTTGTATCGCACATTTCAAACGTTACTTCGTAATCAGTAATGCAATGAATTTTCCTCAATTTCCCAGAAAATTGCATATCGCGCCTCGTTTTTAATCTATATAATTAACAACGATGATTCGCCTATCTTTCAGCTTATCCGACCAACAACAATAGAAGTTTTTCGATAGCAATGCTAACTAAAACATAGGTTTACATTAGCTTTGCATACATAAGTCCGCAGAAAATACAATATTCTTTAAACGAACAGTCGTTTCTCGAGCAATCGCAGGAAAAAAAGAAAAAAAAAAAACGGTGTCTCCTCGGGTTCCGCGTTAATTATGCATTCAGAAATCCTCCTTTGTCATATCTCGTCGAGAGAAAAGAAACGATTGTTCGCGGTTGCGTAAGTAGCGTCACATGCTCGACGCGTTATCGTCCGCGTGCGATGTGCACGCGTCGCGTCGCGAGGTAACGCGTTGACAAGCTGATCGAAGCTCGCCGCAATAATTACACGATTCGAAACACTTTGCTCGAGAGTTTGAGTAATTTGTCTATGTAGGTTTATCTATTCAAAAAATTCTTTCAAATACATATTTCCAACAGCATTGCACTCAACGCCGTATTAAAAGGAGACCTAAGCCGAGGGCCCGAGAAATCTTTATCCGGTTCTAATTGCACTTTGATATAAACAATTTTTTTCTATCTTCATTTGAAAGAGATTTATAGCTCGGTTACTATCGTCCCTCTCTAGTATACCAAATGAAAACATTTTCCAGTTATCGCCGGTGTGTATAAAGAAACAAATTTTCATCGAGCGCAGATAACACAGAGGTTCCTTGTCTCGGTCCCTTCCATTGGTCCTCGTTTCAGTCTTTGAATGATTCAAACATTACGTCATCTGAAATTCTTAATCTATCTTCTCTATAAATCGAGCGATTCCTGTGTTGCACTATTTCTTCTGTTAATTTTGAATCGCTTTCGCAGAGCTCGTTAACGTCATTCGTTGCCAAGGCTATCTCCGTCGACTGTAAAGCCGAAAATGATATATCGAGCAAAAAAGTTCGACGAAATTCCAGAGTTTCAAGAAACTGAATCGTGTTTCCATAGAATCGAAGTAAACAGGAGCTTTTGAATTTCGAATATTTTTCTTTTGTTATTCTACAGTGAAACGGAAAGTGAAGACATTTCAGATTCTTCTTGTTGGATCTTTATTACACCTGACTCTTAGATATAAGTAATAATGTTTCTTTTTAAAAGCACAGCATTTTGGCGGGTTTCGAGCAACGCCTCGAAAGTGGTATTGCTTCATACGCGGCTGGAAGCATCTAAAAATGGAGTAAAGGAGAAACTAACGGCCGTGGTGCAAAGGATGCAGGAAAACTGAAGAAAACGTACACCGTCGCGACTAGCCTCGAGTATCAAATCGCTTGTAGCACGAAGGACCATTTAAGGCCTCGTCGTACCATAAGCAATAGCTGTCGGTGATGAAACTCTATCTGCAATCGCGGCAGACTGAAGCGATTAACGTATTAGAAGGTTCAACTCGATCGGTTTGAACTGCAACGTCGGCAGAGGCCCGGAGCAAAAGGAGTTTTCCTCGGGCTACTGCGTTGTTTTTCCCATTTTCTATTTTTTTCTCCCCGAGACCTGATTGATTGCTCGATCGCGCTACGAATTCTCCCGCGATCGCGTAATCGACAAAATTGCAACCTGTTTTCGTCAGAAGTCGACGTTGCAGAGGAAGAAACGTGTATTTAAAGTTTCAAAAATCTACTATTAAATTAAAAATTAAATTTCTGTCCTCTTTGATTAATTTTTTATAAATCACGCGTCTTTCTCCAATAATTGTTTTCTAGTTGGCGGAGACAAATGGCGCGCCTCGAAGAAGGACAACTGCATCGATTGGAACGCGTCGCCAAGTGTAATCGGGCTGTTAACAGTTCGGCTTCTCGAACGTGCTCGCAAACAGGCTGCCACAGACGGATTTAAGAGCCGAGGTAAATCCTTCGAGCAAGCAACGAGCGTCACCGTTCGTAATAATGTCAAATTATGATAATCCGCGGCGCACAATGAGCGACTAGCGAATCATCGTTCATCCGTGTCTCCTACGATCGCGTAATCATAGACACGACGATTCGTGCTGCGCGCCTACAGAGGAACAGAGAGCGATTATCAATGCTGTTGTCGTGCATTTTCCATCGATGATGAATCGTAAACGTATAACGAGATCTTTAGAGACCTCTGACGCTTAGGATCGTCGAGCTTCCTCGCCAAATGCAACATCGACCAGGTCGCTTTCGAACAGATGCCAGATTTTATTGTTCGTAGGCGAGCGTAGTGAATTTTCGTCATAAACGGCATAGCCGAGGTCGAATTGCTTGGAAATACAGGAATTTTCAGGGAACAGATAAAGGAACATTTGCCTGCCTCTGTGCGCGGTTCGTACTTAAGGGTCGCGACAGGTAGAAGGGAAAAAAGGGCATACCGTTATACCTCGTTCTAGTGCAAGAGCCTCGATGGTGTCCTTCGTGGACGACAAACCTCTCTTACCATTCGGCTGGGAAATTTTCAAGAAAATGAACGGAATTCCAACGGTAAGCTGCTAAGCCGAGCGTCCTTCGAGCATCGAAACGTGTTACACAGTATACAGGGTGTCCGAGCTAAAGTGTGACAAGGGTTTTATTTCGTAACTATTGATGATACGAAAAATGGTTTATATGGAAATTGCACGGTACTGTAGGGCCTATGTTTTGGTGTGAACGAAAATTTATTTACATTATTAGTTTTAAACATATCATGGTCAAGTATCGTTTTTTAAATGGAACTACATATTAGTTTTCAGAGCATGTGATAGTGCTTTTCAAGACGAATTTATTAAGTTTTAATGTATACACCCGATTTTAATTAGTTTTCAAGATATAACGTTTACAAATTTCCCGATTTTCAGTAGATACGTCTCGGTTTGAGTAGCAAATCGTAAAAGTGGCCTTATTGTTACGGTAAGTGCCACAGCGGTGGTCTACGCTAGAAACGGCAGACCCAAAGAATAAGAAACCGCAACAATAGGGCCGTTTTTACGACTTGCTACTCAAACCGGGACGTATTCACTGAAAATCGGGAAATTTGTAAACGTTATACATATCTTATCGAGTAATTCTATGATTATTTTAATTTTCATTAGATTCTCAATAATTTGTGAATTTTTTTTCACTGTGACGTTTGAAAGTCCACTAATAATTAATTTCTTCGTGTAACACTTAATTAATATCAACACAAAATTTCCTACTAACCTTCAACAAAATTTCCCCAAAATTTTCTATGATTTTTCAAAAGCAAAAGTAATATCTTAGCGCGTCAAGAGAAATTATCATGAAAATTAGTAAGGTCGCTACGAGTTTAGGTTTCATCGTTAAGCACGCGCCTATATCGTTTTAATTAAACGGCTCAACGTACGCTATTGTTTAATATGTCGTGGTGACGCCACTGGATAACTCAGTGCGGTCGTGAGAAGCCGCGCGTGCGTTTCAAAGTGCGACCGAGAAAAACAGTAAGGGGAGGAAAAAGAAAGGGCGATTAACGGAAGGGAGAAAAGGTAGGGATTGTTGGAGCGACCGAGAGAGAAACGAACGACTCCCAGGCACGGATTTAGGCGTGGGATGGTGGAGTGGTGTAAGGATGAGGGCCCTTTCGCTCTCGATGCACGGCAAAGTACTGTAGCTTCCCCGTTTGCCAACACCGCTGCGCAACGTACCAGTAATTTTTACGCACGATTATAATGTAACCCTTCTGCACTGTGCGGCCGGCATCATTTTTAACGGCGACTTTAACTCTTAAACGACGACGCACGTCTCACGTGCCGGCTTCGAATTTGTTCGTTCGTATTGCGCGCCCTTCGGAACGCCAATAGTTGATCAATAAAGACGGGGTATAATACGTATTTTGATTTTTGAATATAAAAATTAAGTTTTCAAAATAATTCAAATTAGTTTATCTTTCATTCCTACTTTACTAAATTAAAATTAGTAAATTTCATAATGTAAGAGGTTATGGCACAGACGCCATCTTGAAACTAGAGACTTAGGAGTAATACAGCTAGGGATAACTAGAATTTCAGATTAGGCATATCTTCGCATTTAAAGACGAGAAAGAGTGAACTAAAAGGAAAATTGATGGAAGAAGATTAATTTTATTCAAATTATTCGTTTGTATAATGTATCCACGATTTATTAAGACGGCGTGAATTAGAAGTTCGGTATAATACGTTCACCGCTTCGAAATACTTAAACTTTCCCCTATGCCGTGAACTCAGGCTAACACCCTACTCGACGTTTATTCTCCAGCCGACTGGGGTAAGCTTCGTGATGCATAATGGAGCTACCCGATTGATATCCAAGCAACCGTCTGAAAGTTCTACAATCTCAAATACAATGTCGGTTTAAACCGTAAACATAATGGATTAAACGCATGATGAACAGACAAAACAGAGGCTATCGAAGGTCTAATCAAAATTCATTTTTAAAACAAACAAAAACAGATATACCTTTTTTAAAATAATCGCTGAAGAAATATGAGATATGTATTTTGTGTTTTTTTAAAAATAAATTTTAATGAGTTGGATAAATGTAAAAATAATTGCAGATCTTAGGTTTATTGCGTTTTATTTTTCATCGAACATATATCGATATGAGTGTAACCCGCGACAAGGCAACACTGCGACCGATCTTTCGAGGCTGCCGCTGGAAAGACGCTGAAGATGACCGTGATTGTCTGAAACATACACACACGTATCAATCTAAACATCCGTGACACGTAACGAGGACTCGAAGAGCAACCTCGTATTCATTGGCACACAAATACAGAAATAACGCGTAAACCGACCCATCTTTCTGTATATACGTTTCCATATACATTTACATATACATATGTCGATGTATTGAACGCGTACAGCCACGACACTTAACGTGAAATCCCGTTTCAACATTCCCGATCTACGTCTGAATCCGTCGAAGAATACATATGTACTTTGAAATGTATTAATGGAACCAGCGTGCTTTCGAAGATGATCAAATTTATAGACCCTTTTAGAATTGATGAAAAAACCACCTATACAGAAAATTGTAAAGTGATAAAGAACAAATGATCGATAAGTTTTCGAGGGGATTTATAAGATTACCCGCAAATTGTCTAAGTAATTTCAATTTGCTCGGACTAATCGATCCTGTTGGTAACAAGATCGCGTTAAACATCCCATTCGAGGCGATCGACTATACGGCGTAGAGCAGTATGTACACATGATATACCATTATCGATAGAGGCACGCATACCCGTTGGTACATACATAAGTTCCGGGCGGCGCACGTAGAAATGCCACATGCACCTCGGTTTCGAAGGGGCCTGCGTGCGTCCCGGTAGCGACAACAACAGCGCGGGAGCAGACGAGAACGGAAGACGGAGGACGCCAGTGTAGAAAGAGAGAATGTAGCGTCGGAAAGGAAGAAAAGAGAGGCGGAAAAAAGAGAGCGTGAAGAGAGTAAGGGGGAAAGAGAAACGGACAGACGTGCTCGTTTCTCGAATCGAGCAGTATGCACGAGGACGAGAGAAGAGGACGGTGGTGGTGCTATAGGGAGACCTTTTCCCTCTATCGCGTGGCTCCACCCACACGCCGCCACCGCCGCCGTCGAGGCGCACAATCTGGCAACAGTGGCTCGCTATAACCGATATTGTGGCCGTGGATTGAATGGAGGGGAACTAGCTCAGGTCAAACCTCCCCACCGGCACGACAACCCCTCGGTCGGAGGAGCGACCCCTCGCCACTGTTCGCTCTCCATCGTTTCTCACCCCACCCAACCCCTGCAGCATCCTTCTCCATCCTCTATCCATTTGCCTCTTTCTTTCCTTTACTTGCCCCCCACTCAGTCGAACCGCATCATCTCCCCTTTCCCCTGTACCCTTCGCTTCTACGCTTGTCCCTCGTAGTCCGACCGTATCCCCACCATCTTCATTTTGATTGTCTGCGTTCCATGGAGTGGCACACGCGTGTGCCGCAGTGTTCCCTACGTCTGTGCGTTGGGTGCGAGTGTCGCACTCCTGCTAGATGGCGTTCGTATGCGCCTGCGCCTTCTATGTATGTGTGCTTGTGTAGTAACTCCCACCGCGTCGTCCAACGCTCTACCACTACCGTTAGTATCTTCGTTTAGTCGTTGCTTCGATACCAACACACTAGCGACCAGCGTTACTACCACTATAATATCCCAGCGTGCCTGCTGCCGCTGCTGCTGCTGCTGCTGGCTCCTGCTACCAACACATCACCGTGAGTTACCAACACAACGAAGAAAGGGCTGCGTGTCGACACATGTCGTACGAAGAATCGACGGACGGGGACACACCGTAGAGATACACAGAGCGTATACACACAACGGACGATAGAGAGCGCGCAGGTAGAGCGACGGAGAAAGAGTATCGAAGGGAGCGAGAAGGAGGGACAATGAGGGAGCGAGGAAGACCGATGTTGGCCCCAACAGCCTCTCACTAGACAGTATTACTTTCAACCGTTTAGCGGGGCCAATGCTACCCGGCGCGGAGTAGTCAGTCAGCCGAGCAGTCAGAGTCAGCCGGCCGCGAATACCGAGAGGACGCCTCTCCGTTCGTTCACGAGTATCGTCGTCCAAGACCATCCACGCGACGATCTCCAAATGTTTTCGTCATAGTCCTTCGAAGCTTTTGCTGGCCGCTACCCCTGTTTTACCGCCGTCGTAGTTCGTTATCTGTGTTATCAAATGTCCTCGACATCGAGTCTGCCAACGATTTCTCGTGCATTAACGATACCTCCTGTGACAGACTAAAAGGCGCGCTCGATGGTATAATTGATGAATATGAAATAAAAAGTTTCCTAAAAGTGTGTGAGAGAACGAGAGAAAGAGAACATTTGTGCTGACGATAGAAAGAATTTAAAAAGAAAAGATTTCAAAGAAAGAATATAGTTTTTAGTGTGATAAGTATTTTGACATTGATTTCAATACGGTTCGAAATCAAACGGTGTGAATAATTGAAAAGAGTCGAAGAGACGTTACTACTCGATAAAGTTGTTGCCGCTACTGTCGCAAGGACACAACACCGGTATCGGCCACGAGCAGCCAGAGAGTTTTACCCTCTCTCACGGCGCATCCGAGTCGCACGCGCGTGCAACACTCTCTGGTGGGTTCCGCACGTTCAGCCGAGCTAGTCGGCGGAGCGTTTCTCGCTTGTTTTGTCGTTGTTATGAGGAGGTGATGAATAGACGAAAGCGTTGTAGTGTCGAGCAACGTGGTGACCGTGCTCGTCGTCGTGACGGACGATGACGATGAACGTAGACAGATATCATAAACGCGAGGAAGTGTGCTCGTTGGTGTGATTCAGTGTTTTACTTCGAATCAATTCCATTTTACACGAGAATTGGATTGGATTTATTATTTCGTGAATCAAGTGTATCTACCGAGGATAATGCGATTCTGTGTCATTCTTTAGGTAAGTGGTTGTGCATCGTTTTCCTTATTACCGCATGCTTGGTTAAGTGGTCGTCGATTATCCAAAGTGTCACGATGGATCACGAACGATCGATTATCAAAATTTCGTTCGTTCGACGAAAAATCGATTTATCGTCCATCGATAATTGAATTTCGATTTCAGCTGTGATACGGTTTGCAAAAGTCTGCATTCTCGCGACTCGCCACTTGCTCGTTACGTTGCAGTAGTAGATATTCGAACCGGTAATGCGCTTTCACAACGGGTGATTGTTCTAAAGATGTGTCACTCCGTCTCGCTCGGTTTCTCGAACCGATCCCGGTTAACCGTGAGAGACAAAGTAAGAAGACGATGACGAAGGAATCAGATAGAGAGATAGCTTTCGCGCAGAAGGAGACGCGAAAAACAGGCAGAAAGTCACGTCTACTATAATCTTCGATTGTCGGCAGTAGCCTGTTGTACTCGGCGTATTAACGCCTTTATGTGTAGCGACTATTACGTGCAACGATGCGCTACCAAATACCTTTCAAAGTTTTACAATCTACCGTCAATACTTACACCCCTATAACAGCAGGTTTATTATCGACTGGTGCATTCTCAACGCTCGTACATTTTTATCGATAAATAATTTAATTTATCGACGATCTAATCCGTCACACGACCTTAATAATTCATTTCCTAGAAAAACTCGAGTCTGTTTTACCATTACGCATAGAATGACAGGTATTTGTTGCAGCTGGAAGAATGAAAACGTTATCTCGGTGATTCTTGAGGGAACGATTGAAATAAACGAACAGGTTTTGTCCGTTCGTTGGTCGGTGACGATAATCGGTATGACATTGTCACTGACGTTATCAGTCGAGATAAAAATACTAAAGAAAGGCGTACGCAACGAGAGAGTTGGATTTGAATCGAACGAGACGACGCGCGTTACGGTCACACGTACACGTAAACGCGGCGATCTATCTGGCGTACGCTGAGATAATCTTGGCAATATTAAACGCGCAATAGGCTCCGCTATGCCCGGGCTATCTAATCGTTTATCGCCGTCATACGCCAAGTCACTGTACTATCGACGATAGTTCTGCCGAAACTCCGCTCTTACGATATGTTTTATCAATATACCAAACCCCTTGACACGTTTCCTATCACCAGTCAATTGAACATTTGTTCATCATAGACAGAGAGTTCCATTTGATAAAATGCAAAATTATTATTTTATATGGAAAATCGAGTGCTGATAGTGAATGGATTAAAATTTTATGATTCCATTGATGCAAGTTAAATTTCTTTTCATTACACGAATAAAAGTTCATTCTGGTTTCTCTAGCAGAGATTCTTTATTAAGGTCCAATAAATGGTACTTCATCTGATAATGAAAGTTTCCCAAAACGTCCTAAATATAATTTTCATTTTTTAACAAAATCAGCGATAACACTGTTTCACCTAAAGTTTCTTTACTTTAAATCAATTTTTATACAAAATTATTACATGGGTTGGAATATTTTTGGAACCTACTGTATATTGGATTGAAACGTATAATCTACAAAGGCAGTAGACCGATACCAGTCACTTCGGGGAACCTAAAAACTACACCAGGATCCCTTGACATTTATGAGCCGTTGGTTCGATGCTGTGCAGCCTTGGTGGCGCCTCCATTGCTAGCATTTATTTGTCGTATAGAGCGCTAGCCTTCCCTGGAGAAAAAGATGGAGTGAACGAAGAAGATTGCACCATTGATTCTACAATTTCATCCAGATTTTATATAATCATATAATCCATCAAAAATTTACACATTTTCATTTTTCCTTTATACCTCTTAATTTTTCAATCAAGCATCGCAATAATTTCTTTCAAGTAACAATGATAAGTTTAAGAAATAATTTTCTGTAGAAACGTATAACGCATTGCTTAGCGTACACGATTAAAGTCGGTTGTCCAGCGCTACTTCTACGAATGTTGAGCTTTCACCTAACGCCATGGGGACGTGTAACGAGAGGGGGGTACTTGTCGAATGTGCTCTCCGTGCACGTAAGTACGTACACTTGCATCGTAAACGTATGCACCGAGCGGATCTGTTTCGAGGCGCGGCTGCGATTTAGGTTCTTTCGCGTTATTGCGCCTCCGCCACTCCACCGGCAAAGTCGGTTTCGTTGAAAGCCTTCTAATCTCGATACAGGCCCCGTTGCGGTGGCACAATATCAGAAATAGGTTTGTTAAAATAAGCGTACACTCGATGGCGCATACCGTGCTTCCCAGGGACGTATTACCGCGGGGCAAATCACCCGGTGGTAGATTGGTGGGGATGCACCAGGGGAGAGACACGTTCTGGTGCACTCTCTGCACACACATTGCCCTTATCCACAAATAAATGAGGTCGGCTTGACGATTCATTGCTCTCGCGCATTCAGCCGTTACTATTGATAATATCGTTTAGCACGTTCATTGCTGTCACCCATATTTGGGTAACACTTGAATTTCCGTGGAAAATAATTGGAAATATTTGAATTAGATATTTGGAGTGATGGATAATAGGATTAACGAAATATTCTAAAATTATTTAGATCACATTGTTACATTTTTCAATTGAACCATTTTATTTGTTATTTCACTCCTTTCTATTTTTGTTATTCTACTTCTTTCTTCTATTTTTATTTATTCTACGTCAAATTATTTCAGTCCACTGATCAGTTGTTTTTGATAGCACAGCTAGAACAAGGAGTGCCGTAATTTCTCAACGTGTGCACGGCTACAAAAAAAAAAGAGTTTCGCGAACACGGTTTGTCGTAATCCAGCTATAGGACATCGGGGTCGCGGCATCGTGTTCGGCAGACATCAGAGCAAGATTTTTCAGGTGTTTCAACAAAGAGAGACGCCGCTGCTATTTACCAATTTGGCAAATATCAGCGAGTCAGGAATATATCGTCATCTTTGATTGCGCACTCTCGCGCGCGGAGCGAGGGTACTTATTTGTCAAGGACGACGAACAGACGCCTCGGAACTGACGAAGAATTATGTCAGAGGAACAGCACGTTATAAATTCACCTTGAAGCGTTGGCGCGTAGAAAATTGTGGCATCGAGCTTTTTTTTCACATTCTTTTATAGCAACTTCTTTAGCCCTCTGGCGTTGGGGTGCCATATTTGGGACGCGGAGTGCAAGGTGGAGTCCTCGAAACTTTGCGGATTTTCTTGATAAATATTACAGTAGAGAGGAAGATTAAATTGTTAGACTCCATCGCATACTTATTAACTTGCATAATCGCAGTATCGTCGAAAACTCGATGGTCTAAGAATTTACTTGTACACTTCGCTGCAATGAGAGCCTTTCTTAGTTAAGAGTAAAGGTAAGGGTGCAGGTACTCGTCATTTGCCTTTGATCTTGAAAGGACCCTAGAATCTATAAAAAGCACGGACCTCCATCTCGGCAACAAAGGGTTGAAAACCTTATTAATTTCACTGAATTTTCACGTAACGTGAAAACGAACCCTACCATGATTTGCTTTGATCCAATTTCGAAATTCAAGGCGTCGACTCGGTCGAGTTTTACCAATCGGCCGGCGAACGCTCGAGGATCTCTCCGTTGAAATCACCACGCAAGCAAGAAAACTTTCTTCGAGAAACGAACGAGCCGTGCCACGCTCTATCCTTCGAAGACCACACCGCGCGTACGTACAGCTTGCGCAAACGATTGGTTTACACGCGACGGAATCCGCTTGGTTGGATTATGAAACGTTTGTTTTGCCGGCGCGAAGCGGCCGCTCGTGACGCTCGCGGTCCGACGACAATGGAACAGCCTTCGAACATTATATCCCCGCACGCGCGCTCAAGGTGAGGCGCAATTAAATTTTCATAATTGTCCGTTGCATAATGAGGTCTCGGAACGTGTTATTTATTTATTTTTTTTCGACGGTGCGCGTTCCGAGCGTGGAACACGAATTCGAATGAACCGCCAATGATCGTCCGACAAAAGATCTTCCCGGAATCGTTTATCGCTGTCGGCTGCTCTTTTATCCGATTGCGCGTCGATGCAGCGCGATATACAGCGCGTCGAATAAACGAAAGATATCGTTATCTCGAACGCTTTTAATTGTATACCGCTGTGTTTCAGATTGTTTAATTTGAAATTTACGGCGCCGTCTCTTATCCCAGGTTCTTTGAACTTAGATCGAATGACGGTATTCATCAAACACGTAACGCAACTCGCAAGAGTATCACTTATTTAATTGTAAGTCAATTGTATAAGTAGATCATTAGTTTTCGAACGGCTAATTTCTGTTATCTCCTCGGCCGTGGTACGCGCGTTAAGGTGATCTACTGCGCATGCGCGCGAATGACGCTCAAAGCACCAACCGGTTAATTTCGTTCCATGTACTTATGTCAAACGCCGGGCAAGAACGTCGATATTTCCAACACTATGTATAGACTACAGCAACGCGAACTTTAGTTGCGTCGATGAAAGATAAATTTGTTCTTTGACGAAGTTATAGTGCCGTCGTTTACATGCCATTACATATGTATTAACCCTAAAGACGTAGAAAGACTTCGTTCTCGGAATGTGCCATAGCGAAGTTGTTAAGTATGCGATAGTAAATCACAAAATGAAGATTGAAAAAGAATAGAAAAACAGCGTTTCGATAAGTATCAAATGATAAATAGTTCTGTAAATAAAGCGGCAATCTAAAATCGATGTTCGGTCGCACGTAAGATGCGTCTATTAATCAGAAGTAATTGTGCGCAGCAGGTCAGGCAAGGTCGCGTTCCATCTTGTCCGCGAAGCCGGTAAAGCATTGCTTGTCATTCCTGTCGCATACGCTTTATCGTCGATCGGTATATAAAACAGCGTCTGCTGTTAGAAACATAAACTCGTTAGTTTCTTCATGGTTCGGTGATAACCGTGAAAACAATGTATATCGAATTTACGTTGGAAAGATTAATTACCACCGTAACGATAACGTGTCTAAAAACGTGTTTAAAAACGTGTTGGCATGTTGAGGTGGGAGGAGTCGAAAAAAGGATAATCGTAAAAGCGTCGTGACAAAAACGTGTATCGGACGGAACGATCGGTTAATATATTAACCGCAATTGCTAAGGGGGTGCGTTGATTGGCCGGAAGCGATTGCGCGTGGTAAGGTCGCGGCTCACCTTATCCAGGAAGACGCGGTGATATCAGCTGTCACAACTTTAGCTGCTCGTTTGTTCTTCGCGACTATCGGTTACTATTGATAAGCGTGCGCGTCCATCTGCTTCGTTGCGCGCATGCGCGAGTTTGAACCGTGCGCATGCGTGGCTTTGAACTATGCGCGGTAACTTACCAGGCGTACGCAAAAGTTTTAGTCTTATAACAATAAATATTTGCTTCATACTTGCAATCTCCTTTTGATTATGTTTTATAATTACTGTTTTTTATTTAATCTTATGAATACCGTAATTGGAAAAAGACTAAAACTTTTGCATATACCTTATAAAATTTGAAAAATTATATAAATAATTTAATTCTTTTATACTGATATACAATGAATAGTAAAACGGGATCGGAATATATAAAATAAAAATAGTTATTTGTCAAATGACATATGTAACTGGAATGTAATGCTATGATTAAATTCGCGATATTTATAGTTTAGTATTTTAGAATCCCCTGTTGGCGCTTCATCCTGTGGTTGGTATCTTTATTTAACGCGTCGTATTAATCACTTTCCTTGTACGTCGCAGGGATATAATTATCTTGTAGCTTTTATCTGGAAGAAAAGCATAAGAAAGCGGGAGACTTTGTAATCCGGAATAATTAATGCAAAGAGCAGGTGGAAGAAATATAGTGCCTTTCATGATATATATATATTTAAACAGCCGTTTCCGCGCACGTGCCAACTTGCGCGCGATTATTTGAAATTAACGAGTCTCTCCTCATGACGAAGTACGCGTTGAGCACATAAAATAGTATCGAATACTATTATTAAATTGAGTATAAAGTAGTAATAAAAATAATAATTTTAATTCTTAGTTTTAGGAAGACTATAATCTTTTTTAAGCATTTCTGTGAAAAATATTTTTATTTAGACAGTATTCATCATCAGTGCCTTCCAGTTTAACCCTGACATACATCAAGTTACTAGGCACTCGTTATAAATCGTACCAAAGATTTTCAACGAGAATTTCGTTGATCCGTTTTGCCTCGGTCGGTGGTAAAACGAGCGATGTTATTTCGGTGCTCTCCGAGATAACTTATAGATGTGTGTATATATTCTCTTCACTTCCTTATTTCCAAGCTTCTATGTACATATATGTACACACACGTCTATGTATGTGTATATATACAACTATAAACGGACTTCGAAGAAAGTATGTTCTTCCACTCGTACATACATTACAGTTCAAAACAATTGTCTCGATTTCTCCGGTAATAAGCTGATTTCCAACAGTCTACCTTTCTAATTCCTAATAAATTGCTTCCTCGTTCAGCCCTTGCGTTACTTTGCTTAAACAGCTTTTAAGTTAATCACTCTTCAACCCTTTTGTGTTAGTATTATGTAACTGATTTACATAATATTCATGTAACAAATTGTGAAGTAATTTAAGATTCAAAAGTTTCTTTTATCTTCAACTTTTATGGGACATTGGTTCTTGTAACTTTACAAGTTTTTCTTTCGTACGCCCTCTAATAACTAAGAGTAGTTGAGCTTCAATATTAATATTAATAACAGTCAACGCGGATTCATGTTAACATTTTAGTGCTAATCCCTTTAGGTTAATAATTTTCCTAGTTTTAATCTTTGAATAATTGTTACAGACCATTTTATAAATCCCCCAAGTTTTATTCGAATCAATGAACAAGAGTCCATGATATTTCCATTCAGCAGAATTTTAAGATAAATTTCTGTTTCTACCTCTGCGTGGGAGTAACAAAGAGAAGCAACGTCGTATCGTTGTCGCTTGTCGTTCCCTTTATCTCATCGCGGCAGGATACTACGTTGCTGTAACGCGGTGCACCGGATCGGGTGATATTTATGTAACGGTCAAAGGGGTTAAGTGTTCTGGGAAAGTTTCCAGAGCAACGATTGGCCGGCGGCTTCCGTGATTTCGTCATCCGCCAATCAACGCCCCGAAACAACTTTCTCCGAATCCTGACAGGACTGGCGCGCATGCGCACGCGCGTGCGCCTCGGCGTTTCGCTGAAGTGCATCCTCCGCAAGATTTATTGCACGTCAAAAACAAGGTGACGTAAGGCGTGTAACAATTTGCCGATACAAAGAACGATTTCGACATTGAAACTACCAGCCATAGGACCGTAAATGGTAATGATGAGATGTCGGCAATACTTTTCAGGAAAATTTCATGCGCACGCGAAAGCGCGCGAAATCGGCCGCATTTTTAAATTTCAAATCCTTTCGATCGTTGTTATTGGTTACGTTTGTGGAAAAATTTGAATTGTCCATTGGCATACAACCGATTGTTTAATATAAATCTAAGTTCCGGTGAAGAACGAAGGGAACGTTCTGACCTTCGACCACGAAGGGTTAATATAATCGGTTTGGTAATCAGTTTAATTGAGTAACTCGATGTTGCATCGAAGGGGAAACGCTTTTTGGCGGATCGAATTTATTGAAGCGCACTCGAGTGGCCAATTGTTTGTGTGTCAGGGACGTTCAAATTTCGTTTTGTATATGTATATACGCTTTTTATTCGAGAGGAGTACGTTTCGTTTTAATCTGAAGCAATGGAAGTTGTAAAACAAAAGATGAATGTTTCAGCTCCGGATATTACGCCATCGCTGATAAACTACTTCCGCCATATTTCGAGATATTCGGAAGCGCGCATGATGTAACTTATAGAAATACGGTTGTTCTCGCGAGATTACAAGTTTTTAATGGATTCTTACATTAACGTTAGAATCTGGATAATAAATTTTGTTTAAAAATTCATTTATTATTTCTTCCCTTTTTTTCTTCAAGTTAACAATGTTATCAACGATTTTAAATGATCAAAAGAAAAATTCTGTTTGTATTTTATAAATAAGGTAATGGAATTTCTTCCACGCCTTAGTTGACACAAAGATAAAGCATGTAAGCGATTTCTTCGACGTAACGGACATCACGTCCAAAAATTGTTAACGTGTCAATAAACGTTTCGTAATCATTTCACGAATTGCAGTACCAAGGATCCTCCCCTCCAATAATTTGATTCGTAAAGAATTCATGGTTGAGTATTTTTTTAGGTACTCGGCCACGTTTCAATTGATACAGATCTTTGCTGACTCTAAAAAAATTCGGAAAAAATCGTGAATAATTATATGAAATTTCAATGTTATTTTTGTAATTAAAATCTATCAAAATTAAAACTTAATTATGTATAAATATAACAAAAAATAAAATGCAAATTTTATGAAGAAAAAGAATTGTAAAAAAGAAGTGTAAAAAAGAAGTGCAAACATGGAAAGGTAAAAAATTGTCGGCGAATAAAGAGGCAAAATAATATTTCGACGTAACACGGTTATCCCTCGTGGAATTGTAACGTGACACCGATCGCTGAGGTTTGTTACAAAACTTTTTTGCGACGCTACCCATTTGTGCACTATCACATATATTATAGGTCATAATTATTAAATCGTCGTAATGTTGTTCCAGAATTGGACTGTGATCCTTACATAATGATAAAACGAGACATATCATCCAGTTGCATAATATGTTTGTGATGTGCTTGTTTGCGAATATTCAAAGTAGAAATCGTTTTAACGTGGAATACCTTTACGAAGAGTTAACAAGAAGAAACCTTAAATTTTACTTCTCGTAAAATAAAACTTCTCGTTCACTGATTAACTAGAACAAAAATGATTTCTTGTTTTCTTGAAAAAAATTCAAATTATTATTTTCTACATTAGTGTCAATTTAATTTGGAATTTTTTCTTTAGTTAACAATAAGTAAAAGCAAAATTTTTCTTTGCTAATTTACACGTTTTTTATTATCAGCGGGTCAATTGCGGTCTCTTTTATGAACAACTTTTCCATCCACAT